AAAGGAAGCTTCAAAAAACCATTCACAACTTTTGAGGCAAATATTCAGAATGGTTGGGCATACAGATATTTGTATTTTGCTAATTTAGACTAAACAATACAATGTCAGAGTGTATCGCCCTAAAAATAGTTCCTACATACTCCTAAGCATACTTTCTAAAACTGCACAGTGTTCCTGGGACCTACTGTAAAGTGAAATAACTCCAAATAAGGCATGGAAACAAATAAATCATTTTCTTCTAGCTTTGCTCGTAGTTGCTAGCATATTTTATGCAGAATAATTAAAAGCAATTATTTTCTCTAGGAACTACGTGTACAACATGAAAGCTACATAAAGATTGCTCTGGTTAGTAGTTTCTCCATGCTGTTGAGATTCCTCTAGATGATATGAAACCATATTTGAGGCTGGTCCCACAAATATCAATAAGACCAATACCAATTTATCAGCCATCTCATATTGGTGTCCGTGCTAATAGGGAGCACCGCCTCTTCTCCTGAAGATGCCCACTGCCTTTATCCATCAGCTGGTGTACTGACACTGTCATAGTCAGGGAGATGATATAATGCAATGGCTTGAATACATAGATCGGGAATATATGAAATATGAAAATCTTCAGAGGTATAGCTGCCATTTCCCTTTGTCAGTTCTAGAACATTCCTCGTCTCCTCCTATTTAGCATTCCTCTACTTAAGACAACCACACAGATAGTTTTACTATAAAACATGGTGGTTCTTCAACAAGTGAATCCCAAATGGGTCCTGTTAAACCAAATATAACTTTGATAAAAAGAATAACCATGATTGTGCATGGGAGAAAAGTCGGTCTCAGATTCTCTTTTCCTCTGTGCCATAGGATGGATGTGTAGTGGTTGGAAAAAACATGAAAACAGTTCTTTTAAGTGAACCATATTCATTAATGTGGTAGCAATTCCCTCCCCTCTCTGGAGAGGGTATATGTGGCAGAAACAATAATCCTCAGTTCTAATGATCATGGGTTAAGTGCCTCTTGATGTTCCATGTTTTCACAATACATCTGTGGATAGTAATAGACTTAATCTAGAGAGGTTTGGCCCCTTGACAAATGGGGCAAACAGAACCAGGGCACTTAAATAACACCACAGTCACTAATGATATGATTACGGAAGGCGATAATGCAACAGCAGCTTCCAGGAGTTAAAACTCATGGGAACAGAGCCTATTAGAAAAGAGGCACCCGATTTCTACTTCACACTGTTGCTATGATGTATAATCTTTTTAAATAGATGAAAAAAAGACCACAAGACAACAGAGAAAAAGCTATTTTAACATAAATAACTTACTCTCAAGCAGGCTTTGTGGTTTAAAGGACTTGTGGTAATTGAGTTGAGAGCCACAAAAGCAGTTCTCGAGTCTGGTCATCTCATCATCCTACATTATACACCATGATGTCAACAAATTCAGAGAGGCAGAAGGAACAGTCCGTGTATGTCTGGCAAAAGAGCTCATGTGCACAATTCTTATAGGGAACCATACATTAGATTAAGGTAGTTTTTTTTTAAGCTCGAGATTTTCCTCAAGGAAGTTTTGCACAAAGCCACTGAGCCCAAAGCCTTATTTCACTACAATTCTTTTTACTGCTGAGATTTTTTTAGCACCTCCCCTGCATAGTTATTCAAAATCAATGGCCAAAATGCCAGGTAACATTCATCTAGGCATTGAAATATGACAATTGAAATCTTATGATCAATCATGCCACAGTTTATGCAATCCCGCTTTCATATTCTTTTCTCCCAGTCATTAAACTGAACTTCCATTTTGATTTTCATTCTGGTGATTCTGTTTTCATGTTCTAAATAATTACTCTTTCTCCTTAGCAATCGTATCTTTTTGATATCAAATCACTGTTTAAATAGGGATCTTAGAAATGACAAAGCAGATTAGAGAAACATAGATGCTTTCATGTTTCCCCTCAGTTACTGTAAACTCATGCAATTTCTTTTTTTAAAAAACAAAGAAAACCCTCCAGGCCACTACTAATTTGTGTTACGCTTCTCTCAACTCCCTCCAGTGTCCCTCTCTTGTTTTATGAGATTGCCTCCTGGGGAACACGCTGAAGTTCAAAGCCAGGGAATGTTCCCACTCTAGTCAATGCAAGGATATATGCCAGGAGCAGGATGTAAACTTCTATCTATAGTAAAAGTCTTGTATGGATTAAAACATTTAAGAAGTGGAGCCTTTGTGCCAGTCCTTAGGTCTTATCCCCAGATACCTTCCTAGGTCACTAATCCAGCTTTCCTCAGGGAATCTGTGACTGGGTAGTAGCTGCCACTGAGAGTATCAGTTATTCTAATCCATTTTGCTCATACTGTTTAATGAAATCTGGTATCTTCAATAATTTAAACAGAAAGGAATCTCCCTCTTCTTCACCAGCTCAGATCAGGAACTGTTACTAGACCTCAAAGGCAGTACATTTTGCCACTGAAAAAAGAAGTTAGGCAGCCAAGAAGCAAGTCTTTTATTCTCTCATTCCGTTGTGTCACGGAGCTGAAAACAGTTTGCATCCAAAATTATCTGTGGTTCTGGGCTTCATGTTAGAAAGAACATGACAGATTATACTGGAATTTCCACAGATGATGCCTCATAGACAGGGTTATTATCTATGGAAAAGAAGTCATGCACGTCATCAGGGTTCTGCTTGGTGAAGTTCATTACCTCATTCCCACCATTGCAGTGGCTAAGGCAGGAAGGAGGATGACATTCTTTACTCCACTCCAGTTCTTTGTACTCAAGAATGATAAAAACTCCCTGTGGAGCTTAATATCAGCCTTATCGTAAGAGTGCAAGGGTCTGGGAAAAGAAAGTTCAAGAAGAGTTAGTGAATGCACCGCAAAGAACGCAATGGAAGAATCTGAGGAAGAATGTCCAAGAAATAATGCCTCTAAATGAAGCAGTGAAGATTGAGAGGCAAGACTCTCACCATAAATCAATACCATGTTTGTCCTTTGGTTCACCTGATTTTAATTTCTGCCCTGAGATCTTACACTCTGGGTAATAAGGCCCCCCACCACAGTCCGAACTTTTCAGACTCTCCTGGATTACGCAGTATTTGTCAGTGCTTTACCTGCTTGTTCTCAAAAACTGCTGAAAACTCATTCTGCTGCTTTAGAAAGGGTAACAACAGAGGACAGCCACAAACAGAACAAGAGCCTCATCAGAGCAGGAACCAAAATGACAAAGCTTTTTCTGCAACATCATCTGGACTGTCACGTAGCAACAACACTCCAGCAGCCATATATAAAGCAAAGACTTCCACTGTCCTCTGAAGCATGGACATACTTTTCTCCAGAGACTAATACTAAAAGGAAAAACAAATAGACCCAGATTGCCTTGCATACCTCCTGGGTGGCCTGCTCTCTGATACACAGATAGCTCCACTACTTGGGTTCAGCATAGAAAAACAACTCCTTTTCTGTTCCCTCACAGAGGGAATACTTGGTGCCACGCTGGTACCTACAGAATCAGGACAGGCCTCTATATTTGCAAAGCCACATAACAATTTCTAAAAGCAATACATTTAGTCCAACTTGGGTGTAACCAGAGAAAGAAAACTACAGGCTGACTCTCAAAGAACACTTCTAACAGTGAACTCAGAGTTAGACTGTTTTAAGAGAAGTGGAGGAAGCTCACCATGTGTGCCATTTGAAACAAAAAAGGGCAACACTGTCGGGAGAAAGTGTTACTCAAGAGATGGGTTTGCTGGCTAAACAGAAGTTAAACTTGGAAAAGCTGTATTTCATGAACCATTTTCTGAGGAATGGATGGAAATGTTCCCCCACACCTTCAAATCCAAGACCAGGAGAATTCTAGTAGACGAGATATAAAACACAGCATAGAGCATACAGGGGACAGCACTGTAGCCTTTTAGGCAGTATCACAGAACTGGAGAATAAACGCTAACCCTGGCTTTATTTTTTCTAAAGTGTGTCTAAAGTCAAGAGCTTTCTCCAATACAGGTAAATATGCCAGGGCTAAGAAATGACTCAAACTTTCATAGATCAGTTTACTTAAAGGGAAAGCTACTGTCTTTTCTTCCAAACTCCTGCACCCTGCAGCTAATGCTTCAGAAAGAGCTGGTTGTGAAGAAAAAAAATATTTTATTATTTACTTTAACAGATGGACTCTGCTTTTATTAAAGACTTGCTCCAGGGTGCATATCATGTGGTGATAACTGCTTTTGTCTTCTGCTCTAAGTAACAAACAATATTATCCTTAAGAAAGAAAAATCTCAACATTATATCAAACCAAGACTGTCCTGCACACCCAGCATATATCACAGGATGAACTGTTGTCTATAATTGCCTTCTACAGCTCAGTTACAAGCAGAAGCAAAGGCCTAACTCAACTGCATACAAACACTAGCCAGAGCTTGATAAGCACAGCGATGGCCGTACAAGAACTGGACAAATCATTATGACTCTTTAACAGTGAAAAATCACTCTCTAAAGAAATGAGACATTCTCAAGAAGTCAAAACTTGCTTTGTAAAATCCCATTAAACCGCAGCAGATTAGAACGAGCGGGGCCCCAAGCTGCAAACTTCATTTGGTCAAGACCACAGAAAGAAATATTTCTCTGTTCTTTTACAGAAATGACCAATGAAAAAAACTCACAATAGCACATTGCCCACAGAAGCCTATAGAAAAAAATATTAGAACGTAATTTCAAAAATCGATGCCAAATTGAAGCTGCTGCGCATATACACTGTTTCTCACCATCAGCGACCTTTGATGCAGTAAATATTTTGGGTTTTGTATATTAATTTCTTATGACAATGTAATATTGGGGACTGCAGTGTTAAAGAAATCTGAAGGAAGAGGATAGAAACACCCAGTAGAAGTAAACATGTAAAAATCACCAGACTGAAATACACATACTTCTTTGAATTGACAGTGCTTACTACACATCTACAGGAAGGTGATGAATTAGCCTCCAGAGAAAAGTAAAAATGTACTTATTCCCTTACCTGGTAACCTTCAGTCTTCTTTTGGCACCATTTCAACAGAGCATTCCTCTTCGAACCACCATACTCCCGAGCCAGGGCTGCCAGTGGGTCCTTTCTCTCCACACTAATCCAGGGAAGCGTAAGGGAGAAGATAAATATGCTTGAAGTAGCTTATTTTTTACCAGTGTGTAAGTAATATCTGTATGAAAAAGCAGAATGGCAGCACAGAACCTAAATGTAAACCAAACTATAATAGCTTTCAGAGCTTGCATTCTGTATTTGCCTTTAGATGAGACAAATTGAGTTGGTATCACTGCATACAAAGAGCTGAAAAAACAGCAGCCTACGGATATTCAATGGCATGTGTTAACCCAGCATTTCTGTGATTATTTTCATCAGCTTTACTTACAAAATTTAAGTAACCTCTTTGTTTTACATATTGAAAACTACAATTTAGGGCGTAAAATTGAAAGAAACTATCTAAAGAATCTGTAACAGCAAATTCACATCCAACTGAGCTGCTGCAGAGGGAGTTCTTGAATAAAATGAAGAATCTGGAAGCTGTATTGCAGTCAAGGCCTCAAGGACAGTTAAAGGCCAACAATCAAAACACCCTCATTGTCTCCACCCTACAGTTTCTACTGTTGGAAATAATGGTGGAGATCAGAGGAAAAAAATACATGTTTTTTCTCAAGATAGAAGAAAATTATGTGCCGTGTCCAGCTTTCCCTTAGACCTCAAAGCTTTTAGTTTTTAACTCACCATAACATGCAAAGCTACAGTATGATAATGAAGGTTGACCACTCCTACACATGATGGAATTCTTGTATACAACTTAGTGTCTCCTGAAAGCTTGCTATCCTCATTTTGTCACGATTGCTCATCTTACAGATAGTTGTGGTTATTATAATCTGAATTTTGATATTTAGATCTGACACAGCCTGATAATTCTGAAGTGGACAGACAAGCCAGCAGAGTTTGCACTGGAGACAGGGGTCCACCAGATTAAAACATTCATCCTGGTGCCAGGTAATGCTGTCAATCTTCTCTGTGTGCTGTTTTTCCCAGAAAACCGAGTTGGTACCTGAGTTTGCTTTGGGGTTTCAAACTGCTGGGAGTAGAGGTAAGCATTCTGCTACTGAAGGCCATAGGGGGTTTGCTCAGCGATTCCAGGGAAGGGCTTTTACGGAGGTAATGGTCTGGTTTCAGGTCTTCATTTCTCCCCTTCAGTAGATCTGTGGGAATTAAAAAAAAGCTGTCAGTTTGCAGTCTGAGGAATTTGATTAATCGCTGTCCTGCCACCCAGCACACAATATGTAGTCTGTTGTTTTGATTCTAAACAAATGTACTCATTTGTTCATTAAACACACATGGGGCTAGGAAACCTTGAGCAGATTAGAGGTGATCATAACAAGGAATGGCTTTGATGATTTCAACAGTACAGGCTGCCTGGTTTCCTGTGATTGATACTCCTACTGGGGGGTAGGGGCCCCAGGTGAATGAGGGGAAATACCAAAATCTACAGTCTTAAAGGTTCAAAAGCTGATCGCCAGATATCTTCACCAGATGACTGACCAGCCCTAGTACAATAATTTCTTTTCTGCCATTAGCAGACTTGTAACAAGAAAGCCTCTTGTCTCCTGAATACAACCCAGCTCAAGGCAGCAGTAAAAGGCACTTATTAGCACATGATGCTTGGCATCCTATCTGACAGAACTTTGGGAAGTCTCAATATATTCATAGCAGATGCATCTATATTTTTAGTACACATATTACATATTTTTATATAATA